AAAGTGAAGAGAATGTTTTATGGGCACCACAGTGGAGTCTCCTCCCGAAATTTTTAATGCTTCATTAGTTGAGGTTACTACAAACTTGCCTATAAACTTTTCATGCATGTACTGTTAGTACCTATTTTGTGGGTCAAAATTGTATCGTTACCGTTTTCAATAAAAATAATAAAAAAAACTCTGATTGATGGGTTCAAGGCTGAAATGGAAAGTGTATAAATATATTCCATTGAGTAATTTTAATGATCAAAAATACCTATACCTATGTAGGTAAGTGCAAAATGTCATTGTATTGTTATATATTTTAATTATATATCAATGATATAATATTAATATTAATGTGGGTACCTATTCAAATTTTATTTGTGACTTATCGGTTTTTAATTTAAAAAATGCATTACTTTTTGTTTTTAGTTTATTCATAATTTCAAATTACATTTTATAAAGTTGTTATTTTATTTCAAGCAATAATGAAATGTAATGTTAAAACAAGAAAATATTAACAAATTTTAGAAATTTGCATTTTTTAGCTATTTTTTAACTTAATTATAATTAGCATATAATCTATAGGTGATTTAAAAAAGTATATGTATAAGTAGGTATGCCTGAGAAAAAAAATATTGCAAGATACCCAAGGATATGAGAAATATTATTAATAAGGATGCATTTTGTAATTTCATAATAAAACACTGTATTTTATGTTGTTTAGATTTATATTTATTAGTGTCCATTTCACGAAATACATTACAAGAAGATAAATATAACATTTTGTCCTAGTTTATTTTATAATTAAACTGGCGCCGCACTACGAAAAATCAAAATTTGTAACAATCATTGGAAAATTAAAAGAGAAATCTCATGTTATACTAAAAAAATGCCAACTCTGTATCTTTGGTTGCATATAATAGATAGTGATAATATATTATATTGTATATATGTATAATATAATATATTATACTATTGTCCGTTGCATATAATAGATAGTGATAATATATTATATTGTATATATGTATAATATAATATATTATACTATTGTCCGCGAAAGCAAAGATTTTTAAATTTGAGTGAATTTCAATCATAAAGTAATGTACTGATGGGTTTGGCTGTTAAAAGGCGCGTGGTAGCAGCACAGCTTCCCAACGATCTTGGTCCCTTATTACGAAGGCGATGTCTAAATTGTCAAAAATGATGGAGGTAAACACTTATTTTATTTATAACACACATTTTGTAGATTTAATAACAAAATCCTTTGTCAATAATTCAACCAAAATTCTTTTAATTTTCAAAAAGGACCTTATTTTTGTGGACCGAGTAACAAAAATATTTGTTGGAAATTGGGAACTAAATGAAAACAATGTTGAATGTTGCTTTATTAATCAGTTTCTTAAACAAAAAAATTAACACATACCTACCTACATAAATAAACACATACAATATAATTATTAGTACTACCACAACACTACTGATGTATTTCGTAACTTTAACCCATTTCACTGTATGATACAGTCTGTATCCCCTAATTGAAAACCAGTGATGGCATCTTTTTTCGGATACTTCAACAGATTTATTGTAAAATATTACAAACACTCTGGACAGTTGTTACGAACACATTACAAATTAGAATAAAGTAAGCAAAAAAACAAGTTGCAGACGCTGAAGTCAGTTGAACTTGATGCGTATTATCAGTGGGAAATGTTTTGATTAACTACCTGAAATCACGTGTACTTTTGTAACGAAATAATAATAATAATAATATTAATATTTATTTCCAAAACCGACAATTTACAAAATTGTATAGGAAAACGTCTAAAATACAATATAAAATACATATAAAAATGTAAACATTTACATATTGTTATAAAAACATATATCAGCATAACAGGATAAAATTGTAGTTATTTTTCAAAATATTCTTCAATAGAATAAAAACTTCTTTCTTTTAGATACTAGGATACAGCATACGTTTTTGTGCTGTAAAAATTCTATTACTAGAGGAGCTATTTCCCCAACACAATATTCCATAAGAAAGAATCGATTGGGCACTTCTATAATAAAAGGTCTTTAATGTGGGTAAATTCACTACTCCTCTTAATTGGGTCATGCAATAGTTTTTAGAATAGTTTTTTATCATATATATAAGTGATATCACTTATGTAGCTCCCAAGAAAGATTCCCAGCAAACACATAAGTCTGGTAATGTAATGGCCCATTACAGCGTTTAATGGTTAAATGATGGCATATTTAATCCAAGCTGTTCTTGTACTGGGCCTCTACAGGAATTTTTTGTTAATAAATGTCAATTTAGACCAAAGGCTGTCGTGGTAAGGTCTTGCAATGGCCCTTTTCAGGCAATGATATGTATAATTTAACATTAAAGGCCCACATATGGCAATTATAAGTATCAAGTTAATGGAACTGTAACACACCATTACAGTGCCAAATGTTTTCCTTTGCTTTACACCATATTTACTAATGAATTGCCTCATGTTAGTGGTATTATGCATATGCATATTAGAGTGTGCCAAAAAAACTCGATATTTTTTTTGCTTGCTCTCCACCCAAAATATCGTAGAATATGTCCGAACAAATATTCTGTTAAAAGCGGAGCTCATAATTTCAATTTTAAGAGGTCCTCCATCGAATCTGAAGTTTTGCCGCTTAAATAACACAGAAAACTGACTTTTTTACCTTATTTATTCTTGCAACCTAGGAAGAATTTTTTTTTTCATAAAACCCATGACTAATTCTTACAAAGCATTAAATTTGGACAAAAAAATCTTATTAAGCCGAATTTCTATTTTCATTATTTGATTTTTTACAGAGCTTTAAATTTAAAGTTAATAATACAAAAATGATGATTTTATACGTCTGTAACTTTTAGAATATTGACGATACAAAAAATTCGCCTTAAACTTTTTTGTGGTCCATCTGACAAGCTAAAAAATTTCCATTTGACTTTTTCGTCTAACTTTAATAGTTTAGCTGAAAAAGGCAAAAAACGCAAAATTTTAAATTTAAAGCTCTGTAAAAAATCAAATAATGAAAATAGAAATTCGGCTTAATAAGATTTTTTCGTCCAAATTTAATGCTTTGTAAGATTTGGTCATGGATTTTATGAAAAAAAAATTTCTTCCTAGGTTGCAAGAATAAATAAGGTAAAAAAGTCAGTTTTCTGTGTTATTTAAGCGGAAAAACTTGAACTCTGCTTTTAACAGGATATTTGTTCGGACATATTTTACGATATTTTGGGTGGAGAGCAAGAAAAAAAAATATCGACTTTTTTTGGCACACCCTAATGCATATAGAAAAATAATATAGGTTTTGAGATATATTAATTAATTATCCAATAGGTGTATTTTATAATTAATTATTAATGAACTAAACAACTAGGTAGTACCTTTTTCAAGTAAGTATTTTTACTGTACAATTTTTACATTAATGTCGTACTATTTAATAACCTAGGTTATAGCCACTACAAAAGATATTGAAAATACTATAAAAGCATGGTTAAGGGGAGCAATCGACAGGGATGTTGGTCGTAAAAATCGAGAGAAAAAAAAATCAATGAAATTATTAATTTTTCTTATTTTAATTTTTTTAACTTACTGAAAGAAATTTGATTTTATTTTATAATATTTGTTTTTTTTTAATTAAATATGTTATGTTATAATTATGTTTGAATTACATGTATTTTATAACACATTAAACACTTTGTATTTTTTAATTTTTTGAAAGTTTTAGGGACATTCCATGATAACGAAATTTTTGTCCCGACTGTTATCTATATAGTAAAGTACCTATATATTATGGTGGATTAAATTTGGTAAGTATATATTTATTAGGTCGGATATTACACGATAATCGGGAATTTTTTTCCCTACCGTCAAATATCGGTCGGGATAAAATATTTCAATTATTATGGAATATCCGTACCTAGTAAATATATAGGTAACACATTTAATCCACATAATACTCGTAGGTACTTTACTTATTCATTAAAGAATATTTAACTAACCACTATAGAATCTTTATCACCCCATATAAGAACCTTTAGCTTGCCACATTTGTACCTTTAACCTGCCATATCGGAACCTTTAGCGGTTCTTGTAAGTGTCTTTATCGACTGCCGTTACGTGCCCATAAAAGGTGAACGCGACATAATATGTAGAGGTCCATTAAAGTCAGCCTTTATAGGGCCTTTAGTTTATTAAAGGCACGCGTTTAAAGGGCCATGACAGAACCTTTACGGTTGTGTTTGCTGGGTTTTCATCAAAAGTTAACCCCAAAAACTTAACACTCGAACTTTGGCTTAGTGAACCCCCATTACATTTTAACCAGATACTGTAATTTATGGAAGTTTGCTTGGTATGAAACATTATTAGTTGAGTTTTGGATTCAGAATAAAGCCATTTTTATTGCACCAAGAGTTCATTTTATTCACACATTTATGTGCCGAGATACTCAGAGATTGTATGCTATCACCCGTTACCACACCCGATGTGTCATCAGCATACATTGTAAAAAAAGCCTGATTTATATTACTTACAAGATCATTAATGTAAAAAATGAAGTAGTGGCCCATAATAATAATTAAATAAAAAATAATTTGTAAAACATTAAGAAAATAATCTGGAAATTAACAAAATGCTTACAAAATTGCATATTATCTTTACAAAACTTTCGGTAAATAAAATAATTACAAACCCTGGTTTTAAGAATTAACTTGAAAGTGTAATAAATCATCAACATGTACGTTATTTTTAAATAATTATCCCCATTTTCTTATTTTCCTGTTCAATATGAACCACAAAAACTGCTTTCAGAAATAAGATATGAAAAAAAACATTTTATAATTTTTTTATTTTTTATTAACTTGTAAATATTTTAGTACAAGCTATTTATTAACGCAGCCTTTATAAAGTTTGACTTTTAGTTAAATTAAATGAGCATGTGATTTATCACATTAACATTAGCTAAAACTAATAATTATATTTATACATGTTGACTTCTCGAAATTCATCACACAAAGATTTAAAAAATTAGAAAAAGAATTCCAACCTTGTAAACATTTAGAATTGGGAGAATTTGCTATAAAAATATACAATTTAAGGAACGAATTAAAATTTAAATAAAATATCTATTTCCCCGTGATTTAATAGTACCCAAAAGTGATGTCATGTAAAGGGGCGGCGCCACCAGCGGGCAAAGCATAGTCTTTCGACAACTGATCCAAGATACCGCCTCTACCCACTTGGCCAACTTGCGTCGGGCTCGGCCTTGGAGCGTAAGATTGGGCTGGTCTTGGAGCATAGGATTGCGGAGCTTCAGCCCTCAAGGGAGCGGGTTGAGCGTAGGTGATTTTCGGCCGTTGAGGAGCCTGAACCGGTTCGTATTCTTCGATTGGGGCCGGTTGGGCGTTGGCGATCTGTGGTCTTGGTGGAGCTGGGGAGAAGCCTCTGGAAGGAGCCGGAGCGTAGCTTGCCTGCGGGGCTGGTGCGAAGCTTCTGGAAGGAGCGGAACGGGAGGGAATTCCGAAGTCGAAACTGTGCTCGATTGATGGTGAGGCGCGTTGTGGGGCCGGGCGTTGGGGTTGTACTTGCTCGTACTGCTGAGGTTGGACGTATTGCGGTTGGTATACGGATTGGGGTCTTGGTCGTGGAGCTGGTTCTTGTTGGTCTTGGTCGTAGTAAGCCCCGGAGTATTCTGGAAGAAGAGCGCCTTCCTTGTTGGTTGTTTCGTCGACCAATGTTGGTGGCGCGACGGTGATGCCTTCACCGGCTGGTTGGAAACCATGTTTGGTGGCTCCGTATTCTACAACGCGAACTTTTCCGGTGTCATCTACGTATCCGTATTTGCCTTTTACTTCTCCGTTGGGATCTTTGGTCTCGATTTTGAAGGAGCCGTCGCCGCTTTCATAGCCGTACGTGTAGGATCCATCTTCGTTGTGCCTAAAAAGATTTCATGGATTAGAAATTGATTTGAAATGATTGCTACAAAGCGGCAAGTTTCATTTATAAAATAGTAGGTAGGGTGATTAAAAAAAAGCGAACATGCTCAAAAGTTTCGTTTAGGTATAAAAATGAGCCTGTAAAAATATGAGCTTTTAATTTTAATATCTTAATGCTCCGCATCGCTCTTTGCGATTTTCCATAATAATAACATGGGAAACTTTTTTGTTCCTTCTGATTTTTGTTACTCATCAACCAAAGGTCATACAGAAAATGTGTTTTGTTAATTTTGTAAAGAAATAAACGCTCTACAAAAAAGGTTTCTTGCGATTTTTTCGTAAACTAATTGGTTAAAAAGTTATTAAAGATCAAAGTTAAATTTAGCCGATTTTTCGCTACGAAATATATATAAAGTTCGATTTTGTCTTTCGTGTGTGGTGCATCGCACTTTCATCTCTGGGACTTGACTCGATGAAAAAGTGTGAAACATAGCTGACTTTGACCCAGGAGGGACAAAATTGGATTCCGGGTATAGAAATATACCTGTATTTTTCCACAATATCGCAAGCTTTGACCTTCTAGCGAGGTATTTTGTGATACAATATATTGTTGTAAAAAATGTTCTCATCTTATGGAAAATCGAAAAGTGCGATGCGGAGCATTAACATATTAAAATTAAAAGCTCATATTTTTACAGGCTTGTTTTTATACCTAAACTAAACTTTTGCAAGAAAAAAAAACAATTCGCTTTTTTTAAAACACCCTAAGGTACCTTAGAAAACTAAGAAGCACAAAATCTTTTACCTGTTGATTTGCTTTAAAATTGCAATTGGTGTGGGCTTAGCAGCGGATGGTCCTGAGTATCCTGGTTGTACTCTAGATGGCGCTGGCCTTGTCGGTGGACCATAGTCAAAGTCTTGAGCACAAGCAACGGCCACAAGAGCGAACACAGACAACTAAAATAAGAAATATGTGTTATACTGTTTAAAATATCTGTGGTGTAAAATGTAATCTTAAAATGGTATCTAAATCCAACACCAAGTGGTGTTAATATAAACACCATGAATTATGGTTGAAAATGTTATATACAGCAAACACCAAAATGGTGTTTATCTAAAAATATTTGAGAAGTGCACCTACACAGAAAAAAACGAATTTATTTAACTATATTAATTTAGTTGACCCATAAGTATTTATTTAAATCAACAGTGGGAAGGTTAATATAAGGAAAGATTTGTTTGACGGTACTAAACCAGATAGTTATTTTTTTTATTAAATTGGTTAAATTAACCCAGAAAACTTTAGTGAAACCAACCCGCTGTATGGTTCAGTTTACTAAATATGTTGTTTGTAAAATAAGAGTTACTTCAACCTAAAGCATTCTGTTAAAACGATTGAAACAATTTGCCGTGCATTCCTTGTTGCATAGTGTGTACCGATCGCGGCAAAGGCGGTGTGGATCACGTGATGTTCTTAAATCTCGCCTCTGTTGACTTACATGAAAAGTATATAAGCTCAGGTAGTCCTTTGCTATGGTGTGACACTACAAGTTGTTCAATACTAAAGAGACATTAAATAGGTGGAAACAGCTGTCAATACTTGAAGTATTTTAAGTTGGTGGAAGGCACTAAAAACATTATCTCTGGCGAGTTGAAGGTTCAATTTACACTATTTTAGTATTTGAATTTACATTGGACCAACGAACCATATTTAACACCATTTTGGTTTGTATCGATATAGACCATGTATGGTGTTAATTAGGTGTAAAAATGATCATGAAATTTTGAACAGTGTAATAAAATTAAAAAAAATATTTTTAAGATGTTTTTAATCAATTGCCTTTAAACATTTACTAAAAATAAAATGAAACGGTAATAATTAAATTCAATTAGGAGATGAAAGTTAATTAATATTTAACCTATTGATATGTGGGCGTGACGCTTGGTTAAGTGTTTCTCGAAATCATTTCATTACGTTTTGGCGGCATATCGTTACACTTTTTACTTTCAATGACTCTGAAACCTACTAAGGATTACTTAATAACGAAAGTGAAATCTGTCGCACAAACAAAACGTTGAGTCAAGTGTCAAAATTAAACTAGATCGCCGACGCCGAACCTGATATTAATTAGAAAAAACGACCTTGGTCAATTTCTGTTAATCCGTTTGTGGGTGCAAAGTTACCGACAGCTACAAAGCAATCTTATAACTTTTTTTGCAATAAGGAAGTGACCTTCTTAGTCTGCATTATATCTATAATGACCCGCCCTGATCTTGGGTTGAGATCGGAAAAACTTTTTATATACAGGGTGTTTCACATTCGTGGTCCAATAAAAAATTCCATTCCACCTAATCAAATAGTAAATTAAAAAACCCTTGGATTAATCCCAAGTAGCAAAAAGGTTTTATTAAGGTATGCATTGCTTAGTTAAAACCTATTTGCTTTAACAGCAGCTATACAGCTTCGATAAAACCATCTTAAGGCTAAAAAGGAGAATCCTATCGCTGTCCTTAGGAGCAATTTGTGTGTCAGCCATAAAGCAACTTTGCTTTATTGTATTACTCCTAAGGCACACCTTACAGAAGCCATAAAACCTACCTTACAGCTGTCATAAAACCTGCTAAGTGCAATAGGTTTTAAGGAGGTAGTGTGCTTTTGTCGTAAACTTATTTTAGCTGACAATTTGTACTTATTGAAATACCTTTTTAAATTATTGTTGTACTTTGAAAATTCCATATTGCTTTAATCAAATACTTGTTTGGTATATTGTTGCCTTATGAATCACAAGCATCGGCCATTAATGATTTTAAAACCTTAATAAGCAAATTATTATCTTTTGTCAACCTATAACTTTTGGATGCAAAAATCATAAACAAATACCACTTTACTGATAAAAGTTGATTGCCGAGACACAAAACGTATGATGCCCACTGAAATGGCCTTAATTAAAATTTTAAAGGCTTTGGCTAAATTACTTACCCGATCTACATTCCGTTTTTTAAGCCATCTCTTATCGAAAAAATATTATCATTAACATGCTCGTAAAAACCAAATTTTTTGAAATTTCCTGAAAAATATTATCTATTCGTATTTTAGATTAAAATTATTTTATCTTGGCGGAGCATTATTTAATTTAAATGGCGGTTTCAGTTATAAAACTGCTAAAAAGTTTAATTGCTTTAAAAAGTGTTTGTTAAAACTAATAAGCCCTATGACTGCATTTTTCAAGTTAATCATAAAACCAATTGGAATTTTGTGCGAGCATTTTAAAACAACTTTGCAGTATTTTCATCAAAAGTATCGCCATCAGGGCTATAATGCTTTATCAGATGATAACACCTAAAAATTATCTTAATTTCTGTGATAGAATGATGCCGATTTAGCTCTTGGTTGGAACAGGACGTTGAAGAATACAATGAGTATTATCAACCGGATGTTTTGCCAACAACACAGAAGAACAACTTTTAACAGCTCTTACAGTAGCCAGCTTTGTTTTTCTATAAAAATTTCCTTTTTTTAACTTTTAACTACTGCTCTAAAAAACTATTCATGCATGGCGGCGACATGTAGACAATAGTTGTTTTCGCGATTATCAAGACAAAAACGTTTTATGAAAGAAATAATAGCAACAAAATGGTTTACACTTAAGCAAATTGGTTATATTAAAGACGTTGCTGCTCTACTAGGAACAATCATAAAATCTTTTTACTGTTTGGTTCTGTAACATTCTTACATAGAGGAAAAGTAGTTCTAAGACCAAATGCACCATTAAAACCAATAGGCATCTGATAAACCTTCATAAAGCTAATTGGACTATACTGCCCTACTATGGAGAAAGGCAGTAACTGCTAAACAACAACATTTGTGGAAAATTAGCATAAACTACATTTTTATAAAAAGCATTAGGTATTTAATTGATTTTTTTAACTTATGAGATATTTGACTGCATTTCTGTGTTGAATTCAGTTACAAAATATCCATAGCTTTACCATAGCACAAGAAAACGCATTTTGCATTTTTTTGCAGTTACTGCCTTTCTCCATAGTAGGGCAGTATAGGCGTTTCTTAAGGGCAAGTTGCCATAAAAAAGCATTATTGGTTAACAGTAATAAATCAATGTTACGATCAAACGGTTATAATTGCAAAAAGGTTTAATACTTTACTTTAAAGTCGGTCATAAAGCCTAATCATAAAGCTTCATTATCTCAAGACCAACTAGCACAAAGTAGAGCTGCAATAAAACAAATAGCATTTTTTCATGCATTTATAAAGCTTGCATAAAACAGTAAAGCATTATCGGTGGCAACCCTTTGCTACTTGGGAAAGTTAATAATTTCAGAGATATTTAACAATTTCTAAAATATTTAATAATATTTTCTATGAAGTAACCTGTGACGGGTGAGTTAACAGTTTCCAAAGTTACCACGTAATCTGTCATTGTTCAAAATTTAATGGCGTCAATTTTTCAGGTTCTTTATAATCTATGGGTTGTTATAAACAATTTTTTTAATTTAAAAGTAATACAGTAAACAGTATTCTAACTTGTTAAGTTGTAGGATGTCAACTAAAGTCTATTCAAATTCAAGCTGGACTAAATGTAAACACAATCCTCTGAATCGACCAATAGGAACTCACAATCCAAATCACACCCTCAGAATCGACCAATAAGAACGAGTTATCATGCGTCTGGGCGTTTTTGTTTAGTCCAGCTTGGATTTGAATAGACTTTAGATGAAATTGGAAACAATAAAATTTAAAAACAAATTTATGAAATATTTTAAAAAATAAAAAGAATGCGTAACTGTAACAATTTAATAAACCAACAATATTTTAATTTGCAATTTTTATTACTAATTTATTCCTAAATGTTTACAGTGTCCTTCATTTACATTCATTTATTTTTTTTGACTATTCGGGGTTAGAAATTGTTAAATATCTCTGAAATTATGTACCTATATATAGGGAATAGTTACATAAACAATAATAATTTTAATTAATAATATTTAATTTAGGCATGAGCAAGCTTGCGAGCGAGTGCTTAAATTAATGAGTGCATAGAAAAGTTTATAAACGAGGTGCATACTATACTTTTTCTACGACAAATATTTATTATTATCTTAAAATGATTTAAATCAAAAATTTGTATAGAGCGCCATCTATGAAACAATAGGGGAATCTGTGTGTCACCGTCAAATGTCAAATTAATTAATTTTATAAACACAATTATAAAGGTTATAAATCGAAATGTATTTCTTGAAAATTGACAGTTTTTCATAGTGAAAGTAAAGAAAATGTTTTATGAGCACTTTACATTGGAGTCCGTGTCCGAATTTAAGTTATAGTTTACTGCCGGCGAAATTAAAAGGTCAGTACAATGTTCATATAAACTTTTCAAATATTGGCGTTGAGAAACTATTTAATACTTTTGTATTTTTGTATTGAGATAATAAAATAATTTTCACATTTAGTATTATTTTACAAGAAAGGTAATTTATTTTAATGATTGTATGCCATTTGACAACTGTCAAGTAACTTAAAACTAACGTCAGCCCGTGACTAAAAACCTGTTGCTAACTTCAGCCCATGACTAAAGCGCCATAAAACCAAAACTTGTAAATGTGTATTTAAAAGGTCACTTAGTGTCATGGAAACATGTACGATTAAAGGTGGGAGTAGAAAAAGTTTCAAGTTAGCATAATTTGTCATGGTTTATCCCAAATAATTTGTTAACATGGTTTAGTTATTTTACTCAGAATTTTATGTAGAATTTATAAATGTAAAAATATATGGGGTGTTCCATTTGAAATAACAAAGTTGATGTCACTTCCAAACAAAATATTTTAGAAAAATAGACCTAACTGGAATATAAACGCTTTACAAATTTTAAATCAATATCTTTTGCCGCTCTCTAGAAACTTTAAATGGTCCACGAACGTGAAACACCCTGTATAGCTATGATATTCTAGACAACGTCTACTTACATGATCGACGTGAAGAAAACGCCGAATTTATTTGATTACCATAGTAAAAGTAAATTTTATGTGTCGAAAAAAAGTAGATTAAATTATTGACATGTCATGCAGAATGAATGGTTTAACACGTGATTAAAATACAGTTTTATTGGTCACACCTATTTTATTAAAATTACGCTGAACAATGGGATTTTAATTAGATCTATCGTAATGAGTGGATCTGGTTATTGATTTTATATATCTAATTGTTTGTCACATATGGTACCTAATGATATACCAACACATATTAAAACATTAACGCACCTATTTTAATTATGCAGTTTTTTTAGCTCCAATGTCTTATTGCAAATTCCAGCAATATTAAGAAAATATTGTATTAAATGGACATGACCTAAATTATCTGTTGCATTAATATAGATTTAAATACTGGATATTTTCAAATAAAAGTGCACTACCGAAGGTTATCAACAATAATTTCCTTTAATAAATAAAACAAAACGCGGAAATTTTGCGGTGAAATCACGCATAAATTACCCAACAAAGTCTTATCAAGCGAAAAATCAAATTGGAGGTTAGATGGTTAAAAAGTGGAACAAGTCTTTTATGAATTTGCCGCAGAACCTATAGTTACACAAAAATGATAAAAAAGTCACGCACATCACTGTCAAAATACACAGATGTTCGGTATAAACTTTGGACTTTTGAAAGGGAAATTTTTGGTGGGTACTCACGTATCTGAAAGGCAACATGTCTGCAGATGAAGGCACCACACTGAAGTGGCGCGGGGGTCAGCAAATTGCTTTTATATGGAGCCGAAGAATAAGGCAAGAAGGGGCAAGGTCCCAGACAATCCGGTATCACCGGAGTCAGAGCACGGTTCCTTGTGCCGTACCCGTCTGATTTCGGCCAAAGGACCTCTCACCCTAACCTTATACTTTTATTTTTGTATTACTACAGGGCTACAGTTAAATAATTTTTAAGATTTTAGGCAAAACAAAATGGTTATCTTGAATTTTATTAGAAAATAAAATAAATATTTTTTTAATTAAAAATAATTATTGTCGTTTTTTGTGTCAAGCTAAAATTGACATTCCAAAGGCAGTTACACCTATATAATTATTTTTATTCAACCCCCATATCATTTTTCAAGTTGGGCTGGGCCTGGCCAAAAGTCCAAAAAGTCAACCTTATCTAGCAAACAAAAATAATAAACCAATGTAAAGAAAAAAACTTAATTTGTAAGATTTCGAAAGAAAAAGTTAAAAAACATTTTATTTAAAAAGATACAGCTGTTTAAAGTAAAGCAATATGGAAAAAAATCAGATTTTAGATTTGATCAGAATTTTCTCTGTCTTTAAGGCGCTGTTACTCTTATACATAACTAAAATATAAACTATCATCGCAATTTTAGATTTTTTTTTCCTGAGCGAGTTTTTGTCTCAGAACTCGCAAACCATTGAGTTTAACAAAATTGACTTTAAAATATTTTTTGAAGAAAAAAGGTTTGATTAGAATTTCCCGTCAGATGAACCGTTTTCTTACAATCATGCCTTAAAAATTGGTATAGTTTTACAATTTGATCTTTTAACTTTGGAATTTTGTAATTCATGTAAAAATCAGTATCCGGAAAAAACGATAAATATTCTTATGGGAAATCAATTGCTCTAAAAAACAAGTCTTTTATCATTTTTGGCTAAATTCACTCCATCAAAAGTTATTCAAGGTTAAATTTGAAGTCAAAACGAAATTTTAACCTTGAATAACTTTTGATTGAGTGAATTTAGCCAAAAATGTTGAGAGGGTTATTTTGTAAATATTCTTATGGGAAATCAAATTCCCATAAGAATATTTATCGGTTTTTTATGGGTACTGATTTTTACATAAATTACAAAATTCCAATTTAAAAGATCAAAATGTAAAACTATACAAATTTCTAAGGCATGATTTTAAGAAAACGGTTCATCTCACTGAAAATTTCACTTTAACCTTTGCTGAGAAAAGAAATTAAAATTGCGATGAGACCTCCTAATATTAATATTATGGACTCAAACTTTCACAATATTTTTTTTTGTCACCCCAACCATATTTTCGATATACTTTTCAAAAAAAATAGTTGATTTTTTGGCCCAGTCTAATATTAGACTGGGCCAAAAAAATCAACATATGGTACATAGGGATATTTGAGCAAAATGGTCTAGAATTCAAAAAAACCTTTATTTAAAATAAGAAAAAATTGAACCTACTCCTCACCAAAGAAACTAAAAAAATTTAATGTTTATTTAAAATAATGCATAAAAACAAGAATATGTTTACCCAAAGTACTTAAAGTAAGTGTTTAAAATGTTTTTCGTTAACAGCAAGACAGTGGCCTAAACGATTTTCAAATTCTTGTTTTACATTTTGTAACCAAACGTCTTGAACGTTATGAATTTCATCAACTATTTTTTTTCTGGGAACCTTGAGATTGTCCAGTATATTTTTGTACACCACTGACTTCAAATGACCCCATACAAAAAATCCAATAGTGTTAGGTCTACCAATCCACCTGTTCGGAAATACCTACTGCCAAACCAAAATGTGGTGGAGCACCGTCTTGCTGGAACCAAATGGTGTCGTCTACTTCCCCAGGGTACAATGCCCTTACTGCTGGAACTATATCTGTCAAGGAGAGGTTAAAATATTGTTCTGCCGTTAGATTGGCCTCAATAAAAAATGGTCCTATTATGCACCTTATATATAACACTGTTAAAAATATCTGTAGTGTAAAGGGTAATCTAAAAATGGTGTCTAAATCCAAAACCAAGTGGTGTTAATATAACACCATGAATTATGTTACAAAATGTTATATACAGACACCAGAACGATGTTTATCTAAAAATATTTGATCTTTTTGAACTACTGAAAAGTCCACTTTACATAGTATGATTTAATCTAAGTAAAATTTTCACTATTTTAGTATTTGAATTTACACTGGACCAACGAACCATATTTAACACCTTTTTGGTTTGTCTCGATATAGACAATGTATGGTGTTAATTTGGTGTTAAAATGGTCATGAAATTTTGAACAGTGTAGGGATGAATTTTTTATCTTTTAAATATCCTTTGCACTGACCCATAACTGATATCGTTGTCTCGGGCAACCCCCAACAAGAAACTGTAGTTACATCATAGACTTGTAATAGCCCATTCAGGGCAACATCTCCAGAAGTGGCAGATTTTGGTCGACCGATTCTAGACCTAATGGGGTAGTTACATTTTTTCTGACCTATACTTTTTATGGTTTTATTCAAGGCGTTTTGCAATTTTAAACATTTCTGTGAAATCGGAATTTCAATTGAGTTTACCGTTTTCGAGATATTTACAAAAAAAAATCTCCTAATTACGTCACTAGGCTATTGACAACGTTGCCAGCTTTTTCTATGGTTGCCAGTATGTTTAGTTTAAGATTCTTACGATAGATGGCGCCACGTTATACTATTTTAGTTTTAAAACCACTTGATCTATAATTTTAGTTGAGAAGAAGAAGAATTGATTTTTTGACGTTTCTTTTTTTCGGGTTATGTTTTTTTTAAATTTAGATTATTGAAAATCAATGTTATTGTTATGTTATTTGTAATTGATATTAGATAAGTGATTTATTAATAACGGACTCCAAAGCAGAGGAATCTTGTGGAATGGTTGGTTACATTGAACATTGGAGCTTTTAAACAAATAAAGTACCTATAATTATAATCATATTTTGTCGAAAATGCATTTCATTAGTATAATGCCTAGTTCTTTATATTCTTTTAGATATATCTTGGACTCTAAAATATCAAAAATAATATGATACCTCGTAATAAGGAAGGTAGGTACTTAATGAATTTGGTGACCATCTTTCACTCAACTGACAGTGACAGTATTTGTACAAAACCTCTTCGGGTATTTTCTGACATAACCGAATGAAATCATTAACAAGACAAGTTGACAACAGGGTAATTTTCAACCAATAGAAATCTTAGAATGTTGGTCACATGGCGAGGTTTGTGACGTCATAAAAATTTATATTTTTTGTAAATATCTCGAAAACGGTAAACTCAATTGAAATTCTGATTTCACAGAAATGTTTAATTTTACAAAACGCGTTGAATAAACCCATAAAAAGTATAGGTCAGAAAAAATTTAACTACCCCATTTTCACACAGTTTTTTTACAATTTTTTTTACGCATGATTTTGTCAGAGGCTTCTTTTCCGGATACGTGGCAGTAAATAATGCACATCCTTTTTCGGTCACCATACCCAACCATCATTAAAATTTCAATTCTTTCTTTATCAGTAAGCATTGTTTTTTAAAGCAGTATACTATATAGCTATTTATTTTTCTATTAGCACACTATTACATGTGACAATTGCACAGAATGTCGAATTAAAAATGAATTACAGGTAAACGATGTGAAGCCTGTATATATGATCTATTGTTAATTTTTTAATATTACATATAAAATCATTAATTAATAAATTTTGCTATTGTTATATTTTGTTATTAGTTTCTTACAAGAAATCATGTTGCTATTTGTAATCCTTTATATTTTAAAATATATAGTTTAATTTTTAAAACAGTTTACAGTATTAAAAACCTAATGATAATCCTTTAAGGTAATGTACCTTTATTATTGTAACCTGTTAAATCATATGTGAATTCGTATATTGTTTGGTATTTTATGACATATATATCAATCAGGTAAATTTTAACATTAATTGAATTTTAAAATTATTTTAAATGCTTTATTAAAATTGTAAAATGCTTTTTAGTCCATTAATTTATAATAAACAAAATTAATTAAGCCACATGAAAATAAACATTTAGTATTTTTGTTATTTTGAAATTAAACTGTTTAAAAACTAAATGACAAACACAATTTTATCAATAAAAATACGTAGATATTGTTTTTGTTTAAATTCCTAAAAATGTTATTGGTTGATTACACTGATCGACAAACCTTTTTGGTCCGATTTGTGGCTTTACCTTCCTAATTTATTTCGTTATAATTTCAACGAAATTAGACAAATAATATAATAATAACTTTAATAATAACTTTATTAACGGTATGACCAATTTACAATATATATACAAATACAAGAATCCTATACAACACAATGTAAACAATGCAATAAATATATACACATATACATATATTACGACTCGTTAAAAATTCATTCTGAGCTTATGTTTAAATGTTGGCAAAGAAACATTAAAAAAGTCTATTTCTAGCTTATTCGCATTCGCACATATTCGATTTAGTGGCATAAATCTAGCATAGTCTGTTCTTTGTGTTTTTAAGTAAAACAAATTTTTTTGCCTCGTTTGCCTTTGAGGAATATTAAAGTGTATCATTTGAAGCAGCTCAGGACTGTTTATTAAATTATTTAAAAGTTTATACAAAAAAACCAGACCATGTTCGGTTCTTCTAACAGAAAGTAATTTTAGGCCGATTAACTCTCTCATAAACATATAGTCTAGGTTTTCTGTACTCACATTTAACTTATAAGCACAAAAACGAAGGAATTTGTTCTGAACTTTTTCGATTTTGTTTTCCAAATTTGAAAAATGTGGGCACCAAACAACACAACAATATTCCAGGATGCTACGTACAAAGGACATATATACATTTTTTATACAATAAATATTGTTAAAATCTCTTAAGCTACGTTTTAAAAACCCCAGCATTTTTAGAGCTCTGTTCTCACTTCAACTGCGCGTGTCATAATTGGTTTTTACGGTTATTTT